TCTAAAATTACTATTCAACCAATAAAACAAGGAACTCACCTTAATATTTTTCACAAGAAAACCGCAATTTATTCTTAAACGCTCTACCTCAATATGCAGATACAAGTGACCCAAACCAACGAACAATGGACCACAGAGCATCAATACAAGTTTGCAATAAAATAAAATGATTCACGTCGCATTGTCTATGCACGGTGCGTCAATCAAATGCGGAATTCAAGGGCACGATGACAAGTGCGATGCAATATGTTTAAAGTATAATCAAATATGTAATTTTGTCATAAAATAAATTGCTGTGATGTATTGTGTTTGTAGTGACATATGGTGTTATGAGATAAGCAACGGTTTGAAGTAAATTAAGGAATTTAAGGATTTGTTTCGAAGTAACTGTAAAAAGATCTTCTAAATCCCCGAGGGGATACGGGGTGCCCTCTTCTTACTCACTACATTATACACCTTATTTCCGATATATGAACGAATATTGTTATTAAAATGAACAAGTTGCAATGAATAAGCAACTGGAAAGTGTCAAAAAGTTGTTGTCAAGTTTCAGTAAATCAAAAATAAAATACACGAACTATTTAAACTGTCAAACACCAAGCGGTCACCGGTGACCGCAACCTATTGTTCTATAATTGTGTCTACAAAGACGATACTCAACGAGTTAATTAAAAATTCAACAAAATAATACACTGTCTCCATGTTAGACCAAGTCACACATCAACTCTTCATTTTTGGTTTCCCATAATTTTTTGGTCACATATATTAGACATAACTATGTTAGTCCCTCAGTAGAAATATCCTAAAAGAAGTACCTATACCTACTTAATACACAATCAATCAAAGCCTGTACATACTTTATTCATTATTATTACTTCAAAAATGTATCGTTGTAAGTAACTAAAACCTTTCCAAGTTTTTTTATAAATAGTTTCTTATTGCATAAAATAAACCAATCATGTTTATATTGAAAAATCGAAAGCTATCTAGCAATTTAACATAAAGTACGGAGTCACGACATTTGTATTCATTTGAAGTGCGTTCATAATAAAAAACTTGTTTATTTAAAGAGCACCTTTCTAAGTAAGTAACATTTGATTCAAATTCAACGTGTGATAGATGCGTTTAGATAAATTGCACTCTTATATAAAATACCGGAGAAGGGGACTGTGTTGAGAAGATAATACAGAGTCTATCTAAACAGTACGCTTCCGAAAACGTAGACAAAAATGTTTTGATTTTACAATTTTATTTTAATCGTTTCTGTTTTTATGTTATTCATGCGATATCAGCCTTCAATCAAACAATCAAAAATGTTTACTTGCGAAAATATGGTACAAAAAGTGTTACAATGCAATTTTTTTTTCTTCAGCATATCCTGCCGTATGTGGCGTGTAAATGTATTATTAAAATTACACTATCTAGATTCTATCGACTTATCTTCTAAATAGTCCTTAATACTATTGCCTTGAGTTGAGCTACAACTATTATTTGCATTTGGGGTCGATTTTTCCAACGCCAGATAAATTTTAACTTTCAATATTTGGCAATTTGACAATTCTTCCGTACTAAAAACTATCAAATGTCAATTTTATACTAGAGGTACAGTTAAGAACTGAAAAATCGGTTTTTAATTTCTTACTTTTATAGATTAAAAATTTGTTTTTTACCATCCCCTATCTTCGTTTTTTGGAAGCGTTATCGTTACACTCTGTATAATTATAATGGCGGCATTTTTTATAATCATGTAGGTACCTATGTGCAGTAAGGTTATTATTCTGTGAGAGGTTGTTCTTCTCCAATGGAGCCTATCCACTTAAGTTACATAAAACTGCTACACTTTACCATACTAAACTCAAACATTTTGAATAAATAATTGTTTGTTAGTCTTATCGTACTCCTTTACGTGTAAACGGCTGAAGGGATCAGGATAAATTTGAGACAGATAGATTATGGTATGGTGACTTTGACTTTGACTTTGAATAACACTTTGGGTACTTTTTAACCCCCGGGAACGCTGTGCAGAAGCTAGTTTAAAATAATTATCCTCCTTGCTTTATCCCCTGAGCCTTCACGGCTGGGGCCCAATAGGGCTAATGCTGATACGTAGTCGCGGAGAACACGTTGCCGGGGCTCCGGCTTTCATGGGGGGGATCATAATTCGATAATTATCGGGAAAAGCATTCGATGATTATCCCCACTTAAAAAATCCATTGAGCCTTTAACCTTTGCATCTCCTCGATAAAATTAGCAACAATGAGCTTTATTTACTGGAGACCCAACAATGTTACAAATCTTGAGCTCAACGAGAAAGTATTTCAAAGTTACATAACAACGCTAACAAGAACAATCTTTTGAAGTAAAAACTTAGATAAAAAGATAATATCTAATTAACGAATGTTGTTCCAAGACAACAATATATGATACGTTGATTTAATTACAACGTTTATGTTAATTGTAGAAAGTGTGAGACGTTGTATGCGGTCTAAGTCAGTATCGTTATTGTAAAGTTATCGTGTGAACCAGTGTGAACTAGCTCTTGTAGACTTGACTTTTTTAATGTCAGCTTATGTTATAGTGTTCTTAAGAATCACGATTATGGATCATTGTTGTGTTAAAGATGGATTGTATTTTAGATGACGTCGTATCTAATGCCAAGATGGGTCAAGTAGAGGGAGCAACAAATGATTTTTCATTAGAACTGTCCTGCGAAAACACGTCATTTAAATAAACCTTTTTCTTACAGATCTTACTCACTTTAAGACATCTTAGTTAAAAGAGTAAAAAAAAGTACAGTTTGTTAAGCAGACATTTTGCAATCGTTATAATTGAATTAAACTAAAGCAAATAGCAGTTTAAAGTAAATTGGCGTTACTTCCAATGTAATGGTCGTGTTGGTAACACTTCATGGCAGACAAATTGTTAGGTCGCGGTAATCACTGTAATTAGAACATTCAAATACTTTAATGTCCGCGGACGGCCTGTTACTGGCTACTTAATTCATTCAATTTGACGTGAACAACGCATTGCATGCTGCACGAACACTGCAATTCCGAAAATGAATATTTCAAACAAATATTTTAATCAGTTACGTAAACAGTCGTTCCTTCTCCCCTGATAAAGTCTACATAATCTATGGTCACGATAGGGCCTTGGAAGGAATCATTTAAAAAAGGTTCTTCCAATCAAAATTCAGGTGTTAATTAAAACAATGCTTACGTTTAACTAGTAAGTTACGAATTACAAGGTAAAGTTACAGCAATCTCTCGTAAAATGTTAAGCACATAATTTTGTTAATTTACCAAAACAAAATCAATTACAAAATGTTAGCAATCACATTGTATCTTTCGCAATAGGCTGAACTTAATACAGCCTTGGGTTAATTAAAAAAAATACTGTCAAAACTGAGCGCGGGAGATATCCTAATCGAGATCGGGTATCGAGTAATTGTATCGATTTTTCCAATCGATATAAAACGTGATGATAAGAATACTGCATGGGCATCACGCACGATTGAGGAATTATTGTCAATTGTAAAAGTGTATTATTTCATAATGGCTATTGTAGTGTTATTAGCGTATGTAATGTGGCCACGTTAAATCGCTCGTGACCCAACGTACGAGGGTGCAAGCTATTGCAATCCTGCAATTTGTCAATAATAATTGTTCGTTCCTATTATGTATTATGCGCAAATAATTGCTCAGTCGAATTATTAGTATAATTATTGTCTGTATAATCATTATTTCGAAACTGTACATCAGTCATTTTGATTTAAGTATCTTTTATGTTTTGGTGGAACTGTGTTAAAGTTGGTTTTAATTTCAACATGTCAAATATGATTCATGTTGTGAAAAATGAAAAAATATAATAATACCTATTTATTAGGTTAAAATAACTGCTATCAGAAGATACACGACGTCAGCCTTACAGTATTTAGGTACCTAACTAACTAAATACTCTAAGACGCCAGAAATTAGTACCTACCTACTTTGACCCTTAAACATTTGAAACTTAATCTTACTTCGGTAAATGAAATGTTATAGGTAGGTATGCATTTAGCAAACCATGTACCAAATCCTAAGTTTGCCAAGAATAAAACAAATATTTACAGGAGATGTGGACATTAAAAGCCGAGTTAATTAATTCTAACGGACATGCATAGTCATCCGATGGTTATTCATGTAAATAGGTGAAAAGAAATCACTCGCGTCTGCCAAACGCTGCCATCACCCGCCACTTAAACCTGCCAAGTTGCCAACTAGAAAGAGAACTACAAAGGATACGCCCGCCTCTGGTTTAAATATCACATTTTCCGTATGGAAGTCCTTAGCTCATATATAAGGTTTATGCGATAAAATCCTGGACAATTTAAGTTATTGTTAAACAGCTAGGCATTTCCTCTATACTATTTATTACTTAGATACTAAATATTCATCAATACTTAACGAATGTGCTAATACTTGATGCATCACTTTTTACTTACGCATATGTATCAGTTTTAATTGCATCAAATGTAAATACCTAAGCATTTGAAGCAAAAAGTTATATTCTATTTAATATATTTGTAAAAGAAAATATCATTGAAAGATTTGTCATTTATTATTTACTCGTAACACAGTTTGCCCACACGAAGATTACGCCCTTTCAAATTTCTACTAGGCCCGAAGGTGTATTTGCTTTATCTTATTTTGTATGAATATTGTGTGAAAGTAGAGGAAACTAGACACGTGCAAATACACACTGTCTTATTTAAAGGTGTGAATACAAGTTCGTGCAGTTTCAACACGATTTGTAATTTGAATCCATGAGGAACGTGAATGAATGAATGTGTGGTGTTTCACTAGAATAATCTTCGCGATATTTACGCAAATGAAAGGGAAATGACGAATATTGTATTTTTATATTAAAACTAATCCCTTTTCTATCTAAACTAGCCCTACTAATGTTCTACAAAGTCTAAGGCATACCTAAAAGTAAAATATTGTCTATGATCTACTTACGAATTTCAATGGCGTCCGCAATGTTGATCTGTAACGAAAAAAAAAACAAATTAAAACGACTTGTATAATGTTGATTCATAAAACATAATTAGCAAACATTAGGTATCTAGACGGACGGTGATCATTAATTAGCATAATAACATAATTTGTAGGTACCATCAATCTTAACTAAACATCCTTGTTTAAAATAAGTCCTAATTAATATTTTTTTCACGATTCATGTTAAATACATTTTTGTGTAAAGTGTAACAAGCAAATATTATTCATTATCTACTCTAAATTAAGGATCGCATGATCTATGTAATTCAACGACTAACTAATATTATTAAGCATTTCTGTCGACTCTGTGGTCGCGGTCTCCCACAAAAAAAAAACAATTTGTCTAACGAACTCATTTGGCGCGAACACACATTTGATTAAAAAGTTACATCACAGATTATATAATGCTACACATATCAGATATTTTTGTAGCTAACAAACAACGGAAACTATTTGGCGGAGTTGTAAACAGTTTGTTCTCACATTAATCAGACGACGCGACGGAGAAAGTGAGATCACAGATAAATGATTGATGATATTATTATAAAATTGTTTTATTATTGTCTTGTGTGACAGCCTGGTTAATTTGATCTGGCGTCTTTTTTAATCTGTGGTGATGATCGATACGTCAAAAAATTAAGTGAGTTATTAATTATACAGATATTGTTAGTCCTTTGTTTTATATTCCTTTAAGATTTTCTTACATAAATAAAGGATGATGCTGACTATTTGTTATTTTTCTTTATTTCTGAGTAAAACTGTAAAGCTTTGACCGTTAGCAATCGATTTGCATTTTATGTTCTATTGTCTCATGTTTGTTTACCATTTTACGATTGTTTTCGTTATTTTTATTCAATATTAGTCACTGGGAACCAGGAATATGTTATAGATGAATTTATACTAAGCTTACAGATCAATATCAAAGGATTAATCCTATTACTAACGTGACACTGGTAACTCAATTAAGGTTTTATCTATTTTAAGTTTTATTTAATGTACCTATAGACAAATACAAAACTGTAGATCTCTTCACGCGCCACAGACTTACAAAAACTGACAATCAATGTTCAAAAACAGAACGCTAACAAATCTAATTCACACATCAAACTTTCATGCGACGTGTACAGTGACGTCACATGTCACAAGGAAGAGCCCTCCCGTCTCGTCGCTAGCGCGTGACACCACGATTTCTATGATGCATCGTGTCTTTGTATGCAATCGTATGCATTCAACAACATATCACATTTAATGTAAAGCCACATTTCTCTAAGAACGGTAATGTCAGTATGAATTGAACATGTTGAATACATTGTATGGCTTCGTGAAAATAGTTTTTATATGTGTCGTAATACAGTTCTGTTAAGTTAATAGATTTTTTATGTTATTGCTTTTCAATTACCTTCCATAAAGACGGAAAGGTTTAAAAATTTCACCATTGATTTTACTTTTACTAATCATAAGAACTAAGTTATATGAAAATTTGAAAAAATTGGTATGTTCCTTGTATTTATATGGAAACCCAATTTCCTAACACTAAGCTAATCCTACTATCCTACTAATACCTATTATAGATGTGAAAGTTCATGTGGATGTATGTGTGTGTGTGTGTGAGTCTGCGTGTGTGTGTGTGTGTGTGTGTGTGTGTAGGTTTGTTTGTTTGTTATTCTTTCTCAAGTCAAAACGGCTAAAGGGATCGAGATGAAATTTGAAACGGAGTAGATAATTAGATTATGATCTGGAATAACACCGGCTACGTTTTATCCCACAAGAACACGGACGAAACCGCTTGTAGAAGCTAGAATACGGTAGTTGACAACTAGTCAAATCCAATACTTTTATCAAATCGTCTACAACGATACTGTTCTATGAATTTTATACGAAATACCATCTTATGACGTCATCATATTTTCGCGTCAAATAGCACACTTATATCTAAAAAAAATACTAGAATAAATCGCAAATTAAGTATATCGTCAAATCAATTAATGAAAGTGTAACTATTTTTCAATATTTAATTGCATTAAAAAATCTAAATAATTTATTTTTGATCCAGGAAACTACCCATTTATAAATATATAAAAATGAAACCCGTTTCCCGTTATCACGCCATAACTTGAGAACGGCTAGACCGATTTGGCTGATTTTTATTTATTGTGTTTGTTAGGTATTGTCAGGAGAAGGTTCTTATGATAGAAAAAAGTCCTGAAAATCCTACGGGAATGGGAGAAACGGGATTGCGTTTACGAAGTCGCGGGCAGAACCTAGTTTGGTATACAATAAAGGCTTGAACCACCAGTGTCGACTAAAGTCAGTAATTAGTAAACACAAATCATCGCAACTTACAGTACCTAATTAACTTGTAAGCAAGGCATGGATAGTAAATATACCATTTCACCATTTCCCTGTTTCCGATTCAATTCACTTCGACGATAACTTCCTGAATGATGAGCATACCTCATCACGCTGGCTAATAACCTATCAAATACATGGAATTTAAATGGATCTACCATTACTGGGCACTTAGGTAATTACTTCCTCTATATATTATGTTAATGAATCTTATTTTTATAGTTGAAAGTATTTATTTGATGAATGAAAATAACCGTTTTTCAGACAACGATAAGTCTTAAATAAAATAATAATTAGGTACTGCCAAAAATGTACTTTACATATAGCTTACACTATCGACCTGCCCCGGCTTCGCACAGGTGCAATATGTATGTATTATACATATAAACCTTTCTTAAGAATCGCTCTATCTATTAAAGAAAACCGCATCAAAATCCGTTGCGTAGTTTTAAAGATCTAAGCATACATAGGGACAGACAGACGGCGGATAGCGAGTTTTATACTATGTAGTGATAACATAACATCAAACATTTTTAGGCAGAGTTGCACATTACGGCACTTAATGCCACTGTACAATGATACAACAACACTATGTAAGTACCTAGGTATATTTTCTGGTGAATAAAACTGAAAACTGTCAAAGATACGGATGTTCAAGCAACTATTTATTTCAATTTAAAACGTGGGTAAATATTAGATAATTACCCACTACTTACGAAATTACACGAAGATCATAATTATTGCGTAAAGCAATTATAAACTAAAATATTTGTTCTAGAATTCTTTAATTATTTGGTGTTTGTTCTAATGGTCATGTAACACGATACGCTGTGATGAAACTCTATGAGAGTATTTTGCTAATTACCATCAAACTGAACGAAACCAGAAATTATTATTAAATATTTATATCACTACATAGTATAAAACGCAGTCGCTATCCGCCGTCTGTCTGTCCCTATGTATGCTTATATCGCAAGTGGTCGTAAGTGCGACTGCGAGGCAAGGGGTCTCGGGCTCGATTCCCGGGTCGGGCAAAGTATTACTGGGTTTAAAAAAAAATCTCAGTAGTAGCACGGAGTCAGGAATTGTGCCCAGTATATGGCATACCCCTTCGGGTATAAAAAGCGTGGTGTTATGATGTTAATAAGTAATTCTTTAAACTGTCAAACACCAAGCGGTCACCGGTGACCGCAACATATTGTTCTATAATTGTGTCTACAAAACCGGTACTCGACGAGTTAAGACTGGAAAATCCATTTTTACACAAGTATATTTTGTACTTCAGAAGCTGACACCTAGTCTATAACACCGGTTGGGTTTAGATTTAGTTCCAAGTCTAACCTAGGTAAGTAAAGTAGGTACAGAATGAAAGATTTATGATAGAAACGTAAGTAACTAACTAGGACTGATAAATAGGCACACAAATCCCTACTGTCAGCAGTTGACTGCCTGAACAGACAATAAAATAAGTTGTCGACATCTTGGGGTGAACGTTAACCCGTAATTCTATGATCAAGTTGTAAAGTTTTTACGGTAACCGTAAATAGAAGTGAAATTAACAATCGTTTAGGATTACAGTGAAAGATTACCGTTTAAATGAAGTTTTACGTGTTTTACTGGGTATTTAAGATTTATTTCCTTGACGCATAAAACTTAGGATCGAAGGGAAAATTCGGTATTAGAACCTCAATTTATGGTTTTTCGTAGAAAATTCTCCATATCAACTGCCGGAAAAGGTTTACGAGGAATATTATGTTATTTTGATTATATTGTACAGATTCTTTTTTAAAAATCGTTGCCCCCCACACTAGGATTTTCTAAGATCACATACACATCACACCCAGACCCAAAACAACAATTTGTGGATCACACAAAGTGTTGTTCCGTGCGGGAATCGAACCCGCGACACGTTGCACGGCAGCCGGTTGCCCAGCCACCGCAGCAACCGTGCAGTCGATAATGTTATGACGAAGATACCGGCTGACTTAGGTACGACGCGGACGATAACATGACTTTAATATTTTATACATGTTCGTATATAAAACATGCACATAATATTTTTGCCGTTTAAGTACACGAAATCCAAAGCAATCATAAGTTACGTAACACAATAATTATCGATTACTTTCACATTGAAAGTTCCTAAAGGCGAGAACCCGACAACCATAAAGTATCGAAAAAACAAACGAGCAATTATTCTTAAAGCGGTGATAATCGATTATGAGCTTTATGTCCTTTTCAATCGAGTTCTCGGTACGATTGAATGCTTCGGTAATGTGTTGGGCGGCGAAGGAAAGCCGTCGACCACCAGCGAACAGGTCGATGCTGCGATAAGGTCCTATATTGTAATTCAAGTTGTAAATGATATACAAGACCATCCCAACATTTCACATTGATCCGAGAAATAACGCTTCTGAATACGAAACTTATTTTATTAACATGTTTTATACATGGGTCATAAGATATTACGTATACCTTAAGCGTGAACATGAAATCCAGGAAAAGGAATTCTAAGATTTTGTAATCTGAAACTTAAAACACAATTTTGAAGTATCTTCTATAAATTCTCGTAGTTGCAATAATTTTTTCTTCAAAACATTGAAATTATTTAAAACGTAAACTTAACCGGCTTGACAACAT